GCATACATACATATGTATACATACATACACATATGTACATGTCCTGGTATCTTGCTATTTGACATTCAATGCCATACATTCAATGCCAAACTCCACATGCAATGTGAAAGCTTTACCTTGCATCTCCTTTGCCTAAGCCTAAACCCAATCCCTAAAGCTTGCATCCCATAGTGTCCAAGCCCGGATCCAGTAATCCCTTAACCCTGTAGTCACTAAACCGTTTCGAACGAACGCTCGAAGCCTCTCCAGCAGCTCCAGCTGACCTGCAGGAAGAGGTTTCAGGGCAACCCCTGAAAACTCAAAAATCCAAGAACTCATACACACCCCCAATCCCCATGTCCTTGAAACCTTATACCTCTTTACAACAAAACCGAACCATGAAGCCTAAATCCTATGAAACGTACTCAGCAGAGAGGTCCCAGGTACGCCGCTCTAGGAGCTTTGCTGCCCCAGTGGTCACAAAAAAGGCGGCTGAGGGCAGCTGATGGAGCGCAGTGGCAGGATAGTTCCTGAGTAGGGGACTAAAGGCGTTTGTTGATTTTAGGCTATAAGCACTGCAGCACAAGGAATTCATTGGGACCGTTTGGGGGCGAAGAGTTCGGAGCTGGGTTGGGGACTTCTGGGTTGAAGTTTTTGGGCTTTATTCAGGGTCTTTCGTCATTTGGATGTTGTTCTAAATTCAAATATCAGTGCTCCAGCATTAGAATTCCTTGCGCCCGCCCTTGCGCCAGCTTGCGCGCGTGGGATTTTGGACACATTCCGCCTAAGGCCGCGCTAGTCTTGCCTCTAAAGGCGGGGGTTTAGAACGGCATCCTTTGAGGTTTTCAAGTGCCTCCTGAGGCTTTAGGGGTCCAGCCTGGGGTTACTCTTTGGATTAGGCATTTGGATGTTCGTGGAGCTTTTTCCCTCCTTTCTGCACAGGTATTCGAGTTTAGGGATTGGGTTGCGACATGCATTCGGATTTTGGGATTGGGCTGAGGGTGTATGTGTATAGTACAAGGTAGCTTTGGGGGACTTCCGGCCAGAAGCTTTGAGGGTCGAAGGACGCAGTGCTTGTTTGGATGCGAGCCTTTAAAGGCACACATGAGTTCTAGGCCATAAGGTTCATACTGTATGGTAGTTCCTGTGGACTTCGCATGCTTGGGTTTAGGGTGCATGTCGATTTATTTTTGGATGTAATGTTTGGGGTAGTAATTCCTGGGGACTTCGGCGGGAAAGGTCTGAGGAATGAAGGGCCGAGGGTTTTAGGATTCATTCAGATATCCAGGTTTCGGATGGGTTTTGGGGATTTATTTGGGAATGCGGGTTGAGTCGAAGCGCGCAGGCTTAATTGGGGGTTGTGTTTACATTAAGGCCTTAGACTTCACAGAGGCCCCAGGACTTCCGCCATGAAAGGGCAAGATGTATAGGGTTTTGTGAGTGCATAGGCTACCGAGATCTGTTGGGCTTGGAATTCCTTCGGAATCCAGGACTTAGGGTTTGAGGATTATAGGGTTTCTGCAGCTCTAGGCCAGGGGCAAGATCAAAAGAGTGTGTCGCGAGCCGCAGTCAGCATCCGACCACGAACTCCACTGTGGTAACGCAAGACCCAAGTGCTACACGTAGTACTTTCCCCATGCACAGCCCTCTACATAAACACCAAGCCCAATCTCACATCTTTCATCCAAAAAACTAGCCCTAGCCTGACACCCTAAACTTATGTTCGCATCCCCAAGTGTTGTGAACACGAAAACTCTATATCCCATCTCTATAGAACCCCATCCCGGCTTACACACCCGAATCCTGAAAGCCTGAACCCTAGGTTCCCTCCCAGCGTCACGTGCGAGGCCTCTTGCACCGCGTTTCTTACAACCTGTCACTCACGGGGTCTATTTCAGAGAGTTCCTATCCCATTACATGAGCCCGCCAGAAACCAAGCTCTAATTGGGAACTATCAAGGCTGACTAGGCTGATCAGGCCTCGTCTCATGGAAATGCACTAACTTCCCCTTTTAACGCTGAAAAGGTCATGGGGCTGCAGATGCAGGAGCCTCCCTGGAATCTCCAAACGCCCCAGAGATTTTTAACGATTTTAGGAGGATTTACAGTTAAAGTGAGAGGCATCGCAACCTGCACCCTAAACCTAAACCCTGAAGCCTAAACCCTCCACCCAAAACCACACAAACTAAGCCTCAATGAGTCCCTCAAACCTGAAAGCAACTCAGCATGGTTGGCCATGGCAGGTTATCGGATTAGGCCGCGCCACTGGACGTTTGGCTTGGGAGTGGTGCTGGAGGAGTGACACGATTTGGTTAAGGCTTGGGGCTTAGGCTGTGGATTAGGAGTTCAGATTTTAGAATTGTAGCATTTAAACACACAGAGACTGGCAGTCTCAGGGCAGTAAGGCTCTTGCAGCAGTGGCATTCCAAACCCTCGTCCCTCAAGCTGTTAAACCTTACTCAGAAAACCCGATAGTCTCAGCAGGCTGAGTTGGTATCTTTGAATCTCCGCGTGCCCCCCAACTCTTAAACGGAACTGTGCCCTGGGCGTGCCTGAGCCTTTGCTTCACCGGCGGCACAGATCAAGGCCACACAGTCGGGGTTGTAGGCGATGGTGCCAAGACCAATGGTAATGACCTTCGAGCAATACTGTTGATACTCTCGTATTTAAATGGTGTCAGAACTAATTCATAAAGCAAGATAGGGTCCGCAATGCAGACACCTAACAGTGCAACAAAGGGGAAGGTTCGTGTCGGGTGGATTTCGAAGGATCCAGAATGCCTGTACTTTCTGTGAGGAGATCGATCCTCCTCCAACAATTTCGTGCGGAGGCCGTACGCAGCGTAGCCGGTGTAATCTTTAAAAGAATTTGTTGCACCAAATAGCATGGCACCTGTCCTGGTTGCAGGGTTTTGGGGCACTCCGTGAAATGCATGGCCCAGAAGAGGGCCTCTGAAGACCACTCTTTAGCTGCAAGATGCTAGCGGTCCCTGACCGAAGAATTAGATCCCTAAAGAAAATGTCCGAAGATACTGTGCTCAACAAGTTGGATAAGGCGTGCAAGCGCATATTTGAGGTGCGATATGCAGCAACGACTGGCGGAATCAAAGCGAATCTTACCAGTGTGCTCAGGCAGCTGCAGTAATATGTTTGGACACTGTGCAGGCTATCGGCGGGTCTAAGCAAGTCTAACACTCACAAGCACACTGCTGTTCTTTCGAATGGATGCTAAGCAAACGTACGTAAGGCTCCTGTCTCGCTTCTGTGGGTAAAAAGATGCATTCTATAACAAGCCTCACAAATAGTTGCCTGTATAGGGGCTTGCTAATCATTTTTCAGAAGGCGTAGAAGCAGCCCAGGCTATGAAATGTGTGTTCTCTGTTCGTCTGGTGGGTGGACGATTGCCAAAAAGATTGTGCGCGCAAGCACTGAATCCCCAACACCTCTGCCACCGCACAGCGGGTCGATTGTAAAGGCACTGAGGGGACTGGAGTTTCTAAAGCCTTTGCAGTACAAACCCTGGAAACTCCTGTGCCAGCCCATCCAGCCCCAAATTGCTCCTATACAGTCCATAAGCAAATTCTTGCAACTTCTTCACGGTATCCGTCACTTCTCCCTACAGAGCCGTCTTGAACATCCCCAACTCAGCTCTGAAAAAAAATCCTGCGCTCTGAACCTTAACCGACACCCGCCCCGAATCCTTAACTCCCAAGATCTTCGCACCTTCCGTCTTCTCACTGTCTCGATGCCGCCGAGGTCGCCCGCAGCTGCGGCTTGGCTTGCATAGTTGAGCTGATCCTTGGGGAGAAACAAGACTGGGCATTAGGGTCCTGGGTCTTCAGGTTTAGAGCTTCAGGATCCTTTCGCTTACATGGGCTTTCTGGGGGAAGGTTTGGGCTTTAGGGGTTGAGGTTTGGGATTCCATTGCGGTGTCTAAGAGCCTTAGGCTATGCTTTGGGATTAGGATTTCAATTTTTGCAGCTGCGATCTTAGGAAACAATGCGAGTGGGCCAAGGGTGCCTGCAGATTTTCAAAACTGCAAAGTGACCGAAAGACTGAATCCCCCACCCACGGACTTGGAAGTAGCCAACCATTGAGCAATTGCCCGATAGTCCTGTCCCTGGCAAAGGCCCAGAAAGTACTCAAACTTTGGGTTGTGCTGCAGGTGCTAGATCAAGATGAAGGAGCTCCCTCAACCCTATACAGGATCTCTTCGCTCCAGACCTTTCCTTCCGTAAACGCCGGTACGGCCCTAGGCACTTGTCTTCTGGTAAGCCATTTATTCGTATTAGCGGTACGGTACCCTAGAAGAAACATCCTGATTCCCTACGTTGCCTTACCGACCAGGGCACCAGCCGCGTAGTTGCGAAATGGTCACAGCCTGAACGAACCAGACGCTTGAAGAACTACTCCCGCCTTAAAAAGCATTTCTAAGAATCAATACCATGTTTTGCATTTTGCTGTAGTGGGTGAGGGGAGGATATTACTCCTCAGAATGCGCTAAGCATGCTAGCCTCATCCTGGGCAAGGCCCGTTACGTGAACTCGGAAAGTTGTCGAAAACCGTGGTACCCGTAGAGCTTTGAGTTTCTTCCTCCACGGCTTATAAGTCTTATGGAAATGTTTGAAAGCTCGTAGAAAGTTAGCTAATGGAATCACAGCGTGCATCTGGGCTGATCTCAGAACGAGCGGCTCCTACACTAGGTGCCCTTTGATGGAGGCACCCATCGCAGGGCATAGCCACAAGGAGCATGGAAACAACCAAAAGGCAGACGTTTCTGAGACCGGCCCTTATAGGCTGGAGGGTTCGAAGCGCACAGCCCGCAGAGCTCAGACATTACGAAGTCCCAGCAAAACATGCAACCTAATCATACCCAAATCACACCACTAGATCCTGTAAACACTAAACCCACTGACATGATGCGTTGGGATATGAAATTGTGGTGACACCAATATCTAATTCGCAGATGCCATTAACAAAACTTACCTCGATATCTTCAAGGCAAGCCCTTCACCTCAACTCCTGCGGCCTTGGCAGTTGAAGGCGATGTGCCCGTCTGGGCCGATGCCTCCCATGAAGAAGCCAATGCCTTCCGAGCGAGCCATGGACCCCAAAACTGCAGAACTCTTGGGGTTGAGGGCTTGGGGTTCAGGGTCTGAGGGTTTTGGGTAGGGCATAAGATTTAGGATTGAGGGATTGAGGGCTTGTCGCAAACTTGGCGCAGAAGCACTTCAACCCGAGCAGCCGATCCACTATGCTGTTTCTCTGCCCCCATTTGTGGACGGCCATGTAACATATCCGCCAGAAACATGGTCTCTTACTGGCTAGCCTCCCCAAAACTAATTAACGTTGGGCCCGCGAAGTCCCCTTGTAAACGGACTGTTGCATGAGCAATTTTTTTTCGGTGCCAGGACAGCTTAACAGAGGCCAGCCGGTTGCAAGGTTTGCTTGTTTCGGGCTCAGTCTCGGGAGCCAAGGGCCCCACTAGGAAGACCTCCCAAAAAAGTCCAACTGGCACTAGATGAACAGGTAAAGGTATCAAGACTGGTGTCGCTGTGTGTCAGCCGTATGCGCGCGGGTATGATTCATAGGCAATGCTTAGGACTGAGGGGTTGGGTTTTGTCTCTCTAGGGTCCGAACGCCCGCTGCCATAGCAAATTCCATCCGTTTCGAGCGAGGGGATTCGCGAGCATGGATTACCAATTTGGGGTTCCATCTCAAGGTTCTGTCCTTCGGGGAAGACTGATGTCGACCCATTGACCCGTAGCCGTGGAAAAAGGTTCCGAAGAAGCACAAGATCGAGAGTGACAAGACGACTATACCCTAAGGCAAGGTCCACATGGTATATACTCAGGCCAGAAAGTATCTAGATACGATACATTCTGGCCCGCAATTCTATACAAGTTAAACTGACTATTTGAGCACTTCAACCCCTGGCCTCCCAAAGCGCGAATCTTCGCCTCATACTCTGCGCACCACTGATCAACCTCCGTGGGTGGGTGGACCAGCAATTGACAGATTCCAAGCATGATGTGGGGTCTGAACTTTGGGGTGTCAAGGATCCCTTAAATCCCTTTGGAGTGGCAGGTTAGCAGCAGAGAATCCTTAGAGCCAGACTATTCTTGCGCTTTCCAAGGTCATGCGGCTTAGATTCTCAATGTTCCAATATGTTCCAATCCTACAACACCAAGGCTTCTGAAAACACAACCGAAGGCCCTTCGAACGCCTGGGTAGTTTGCAAAGTTTCTGTGACTGCCGCAGCAATAGAAATTACCACCAGAAGAGACCCCAAAAACAGACCCCATCATTGGCTACCTACAACAGTTGGGGATTTGGGCCTCTGGGACTTACCACCCAAAGCAAGTCACGTGCGCGAGCAGGCTCTTTGATCTCGAGCACTATCAGGAACCACGAGCCCATCCATTTCTGCTCTGTCGATCTTATTCCTAGCAATCCCTCACCCCTGAACCGCCAACCATCAGCCCCAAACATCACTTAAACGCTCTCATGACATCCTTCTCGGATAGCGAAATACAGCCCATTACATGAAGTGGCACACCCTAAGAAGAACTACATAGGAGCCTCAAAAAGCCTAACTTCTAACCCTCAAACCCTAATTATAATCCTTTCACCCCGGCAAATCTGACATCCCAAGCCCTCCGCAGCCTGGCGGAGTACCCGCTGCTGCAGAAGCTCCTGTCGCGTGCTCGGATCCCGGGTCCGCAGACTGAGGTCCACCTGGAAAGCGCGCTGAGGCTTGAGAGTTTAGGATGCTACATCAGTCAGGGATTAGGGCCTAGCATGTGGGCTTCCGGCGGGGGGGGGGGTTGGCAGGTGATTAGTGTATTTTGGTTTGAGTTGTTTGGGTGCTTTGGGGTGTGAAGGCGTTAGGGGCTCAGGAGGCTAGGGTGAAACCTTCAGCCTTCAGCGCTCATTCAGGCCCACGCAGTCACCACAGGATCCTAGTGCAAGTGCACCGGCACCAGGCCCTACTACTGTGGGAAAAAGTAACTACCCATCAAACAGGGCTGTGGGTTCTCACTAAGGATGCTCTCGCCCAAACTTGCATGCAACCCTAGGTTTAGGTCGTACGTCCGTCTTCACGCGTGACCCCGCAAAGACTTCGACTCGAGCCAAGCGCATGCAAATCACTCCTCTTCTCACCCTGCTGTGCAACCCCTACCCTGAACCCTGAAGCCTACAACCTCTTTAAGGCGCCCGGGCTTTTGAGAAACTGCGAACTTCAACATGGCAAGACACCTCGCCGGTTGGCCAGACGTCCTCCATATTTAGCGCCTTGCCAAGGGCGACATCTACTGGGGTATTCTCCCCTTAGGGTGTAGGTCTTTGGGGGCTCAGAGGTAAATTGGGGTTTGGGAATCATACAGTAGCGCTTATAGTTACAGGGTGAAGTCTTCAGGGTTTAATGCCAACGTCCAGCTGAAAACGGAGAGACGAACATAGCAGCCATGACGAACATAACAGCCATGGACCGGAACTACGACGCATGCTTTTGGATCAGCCGTGAGAAGCCTGCATCGTCGAGGGCGATAATTGCAAAAAGGCGTCGTAGCAACAACATGACGGCCCCAAATGGAAAAACGCGGGTTAGCACTTTAGCACCACTCCTACTCCTCCTCTCACTCCTGGCGCTCCTCTTCCTTGGGGTTTCTTCTACTCGCACCACTACAACCAAGAGGCAGCGCCCCAGAGACCCCATCAATAGCATTACGATGTTCGGCGGTTAATTTTAAGATCCGGCCGGATCCGGCCCTGGGGCAGGGGGGTGCTTAAGAGGGCTCTCTCATTGGGGACTGAGATTTCACAAAACAACGGAGCCCTCACTGTGATAAACCCCGCAAAACAAGACTCGGATTTGGGGCCTCAAAATGTAGGGAAGGCAAAATTGCGTAAGAGACGGCATTCGGCCAACAACAACAACAAACACATTCTAAGATCATGTGACATGTCTGCGCTTGCCCCAAAGCCTGCAATCTCCAAACATCAAAAATAATTTCTCATACGCTGCCCAAACTACACTTGCAGTCATTGTTGCCAACTTCAAGTTTGCGCAGGGCGGCGCCTTCTTGACGTAGTCCCTCGGCTCGCCAGTAGGTCCGTAGCCCGGATCAAGATCTAAGCCTCATTTATGCCTAGAATCCAGAGACAAACCTAGATCCTGAACCCTGAGTCCTAGTATACAGGTCTGTTTTGTGAGGGATTCAGCGTTGGGAGCCTGGACTGCTCAGTGCTTGGTGAAGCTACCGTCAGTACCTGGTGAGGAACGTCCATCAGTGTTGAGGGGTGCAAAAGCCCACATTATCAACCGCAGGGAGCATAGGGCTTCTGGATTTAAGGCTTTGGATTGAGGGCTTAGTTCTTGGTAAATGTGGGGCTAACGGAACACTACCTAGGTCCTGCACTCTTTCCATGACAAGCACGTAGATCCCAATCTCCCAATAGCGCTGGGGGGTAAGCTTCAGGCTTCAGGGGTCTAGGGTTCAGCGGTTTGGAGTTCAGTTCGTTGAACCACACACTTGCAGCCCCATCATGGAATCTAGTAGACACATAGTAGTATGAGTACTCTTCTCCCCTGCGGTTTTTGTTCGTGGGTGAACGATGTTTTTCTAACACCATACGCTCGCACGCCTACGCGTTCAAAGGCAAAACGGAATCCAAAAGCACGCCAAAACGCTCAACTAAAAACTGAAAAAGTCTGAGATCCTTAAACCTAAGCCCCTACGTACTCCTGAAACTCGCTGCAAGCCTGATGATTTTGCAGATCCCCTACACCGGCACGGGCTGGGCCCTGCTGTAGGCTACAAGCAGTCCTTATATATTGGGGCTAAAAATAGACTTAATTAATGGACCGGAGAACCCCACATGTGTAGTTTAACCTGAATCTAGGTGAAATGATACGAAGATACCGTCGCCCGCCGATATAAGAAGACATGTATAAAAGAATGACAAACCCTCGAGACAACATTCCGCGACAAAACGATGAGCACATTGCGCGAGCGCGAAGTCGGGGCATCAGCTCCGTTCTTGTTTAAGCAAAAATCCAAGAGTCCAATTTTGGAGCAGTCCATCAGCAAAGCTCTCTTTGGATCCAGGCCGAAGCCCTTGATGTAGTACTCCTTTGTTTGAGGGGGTTCTGAGGATTAGGGCTCCAGCCGGGGGAGTCAGCCGGCTGTGGGCATGAGATCTCCTACTTGCCTCTTGTGAACTGGGAATGGAAGGAACGCAGCTCCTAATATAATCATACAATCTCTAGTAGAATCTTCGGGAGCACCCGATAATTAACTCATCCCTTTAATTCCTTCAGGCAAGAGGCAAGTACTGCAGGGGCCAGGATGATACAGTAACGCTTTGGGGCACATCCTGCTATGCTTAGATTGTTAGGGACTGACGTCGGTAGTCATAGAGGCATTTACATTCCGCTAGGTTCGGGAGTAGAGGTCTGATGATTGGCGGCTCTGGAGCAAGGCCGCATTGGGATATAACACCCTAAAAATCATGACGTCCCTTGGTCTTGAGGCCTTTAGTAGCATTACTGATCACAGGAGCGGGGTTCTTTTGTCTTTCGTATTCCGTTTCAGTGAGGCAAGTTCAGAGGATACAGAAACAACATGTTCCAAAGGCTGCAGCAGGACGTGACACTTCGTTGGACTCAACAAGCATTACACGCCTAAAGCCTAAACATCTAAAACGAAACCGCAGTCCCTGAACATCATGCCAAGCTGCGCTCACATAGTGGTAAAAGCTGTTGTGCTGGTCTGGAGAGATGGGATAAAACTCATCCTGGCGTGTTGAAGCTGGGGGCGTAGGTTATTGAGCTGTTACGATTTGGGGTTCAGAGCTTGAGCCTTGCTTTCATTAGTAACTCGGCGTGAGTTCCATGGGAAAAGCTCGTGAGTTAAGACCTTCGTGCTCAGGTTGTCAGGAGACTCGATCCAATAAGGAAAATGCTTCCTCGAGAAGTGCTGGAAAGAATCAATCTGCACGAATGTCAGCTTGTCCAGCTTTGGCTTGTCCTCAGCGTGCAAATGTTTGGGCTGCAGCTTCAACATCTGCAGCACTGCTACCAGGTATCCTAAAGGTTCCAAGAGCCAACACTTATGGTTGTTGGTAACAACTGTGCAGAGTCTGGGTGCTTCGACTCTTTGGGTGAGTTAGGCTAACTACCTGTAATCGAACTACTAGCCCTATCGTCCACGCCGCCAAAGCAGCAGCGGCAGCAATAACAGCAGCAGCGGCAGCGGCAGCAGTTGCAGCAGCAAAAACAACGTGAAGCGCCCCTTTATATACTACACAGGTACTTAGACCCATCAGCTGTAACAGTTAGTAGGACATGAGTTAACGGCTTTCTGCTCAAGTATACCAAATGGTAAGGAGAATGCCAGGAATTCCTAACTTATCAGCCTGGCATTCTGTTCCGTCATTGCCTGCCTGCCAAACCCTGTACCATGGCCCCTACAGCCTAATCCCCCCAAAGCACCAGGGAGAAAAGGACCAGTCACTGGCTGCAGCCCAAACTTTCTGGCTTCCTCTTGGATATCCTGAGTTTCGGATCTAGGCTGGGTTTCAAGATTCAAGGCATAAAGCTTGGGTTCAAGGCTCCGGGTTGAGAGCTTTAGCTTTGGGCCTAGGATCCCACACAAGAGATATGAAGGCAACTGCCGGCCTCGAGGGACCTGGGGACAAGAAGGAATTAGACGGGATAATAGGCAGGTAGTTTAAGCTCCCACTGTACGTATGCAGTGAGCTTGTCGTTCAAGGGTTTGGGACTTCAGAATGCGCAGCTACAGATTCTTGAGTTTTTTTTTCTGGGAAGGCCATATACAAAATACAGGATTGAAATCTCAAAAAGATCCCGAAGAAAGCCAACTGTCAGCGGATGTCCAGTTCTGCAGAATGCGCTGCACCCACTTGATGAAATACCTTGCTCAGCGTGACAATGGAGAGGAAATATCTTGCACCGCTAAAGACTAAAGATCCCTACGTTCGGCCGCGGCACAGATGTATTGGAACAAGAATTTCCATCATGCACGGAACGGGCAATGGGAAGGCTGGTGCAATGGGAAGGCTGGTGCTGCTTTCTAAATTTCGGCTGAAAAGGTTAGGACCGGTCCCAAAAAACAGCACAAGTCCTCAATTTCTCAATCCTCTCTATCCTCAGCCTCAAAGCCTAAACTGTGAGGATATATGCCCTTGGAGGAGGTCAGCCTTCCCCATTGCTAGGAGGCGGCTGGGCTTGTTGGTTGCAACTTTCAACCCTACTGGCCCGTCCTCCTGGGTGGCGGGGCCCCTACCCTAAGCAGACAAGGGATCTGCTGCCGACTACTGCCCTCTCAAAGGGCACCTATGTGGGGTTCTATGCAAGTGCAAATCCTGAGCCAGCTGCTCGGGCGTCTTGCCGGTGGGCAACGAGCAAACACCTTCAGGATTTTGCTGCGCCCATTCCTTGGTTTTGTGTTGTGTTTTGACCTCGCTGTAACGTTCAGCTGAAGGCTTTGTAGGAAAACGTGGAGAATGGTTTGAGTCTCGCTGTTAGAGATGACACGAGACTCAGCAGTCTCGCCGACCAAACGCCTCTAACATCTTGCATCCGACAATTCTACAAGTTCCCATCCCAGACCCCAACCGATAGACGCGAAGGTGGGAACATGAATCATCTGAAGATTTGACTGCGCTTTTGTACAGACATTAGATTGTACAGGAATTCATCTTCTAGCTCCCCAGACGTTGACATGACATGACAAGACAGCCTAAGCAAGTATCAAGGCTCCAGGAATCTCCAGGCAGCTGCTTGGCCAAGGGACGGGAAATTCCTTGCCAACACTGATCAGGATGCCAGATGTAAGGTTCAGTCGAATTTCGGACGGTTGGAATGTATAGTAGCTTCATCAACATTTTGGAATTGGGAAGGTTGGGGAGTGGGTTAGACGTCGAAAAGTGGGTGTAGCTCTCAGGGTCTAAGGCTTAAAGGGCCTCCTCGCATGTCCTCCATATACAATTTCTGCATTGATCTTTAGAATGATAGTATGCGTTGCCATTGGGGATCGCATAACGATTCTCTCATGTTGACTTGTGGCTTAACAACATGCTCCCAACATGGGAGGGGAACGTGATATGTGTCAATATGGTTTACACCTGAAACAAATGCGGCAAACTGCAGCCAAAGCGCTCGACCACAATGGTGCGGATTTTCTCCTCGAGTAGCAAAAGAACACATCACAAGAGAACACACAGGCCTAGAAGAAGCAGAAATGGCAGTAGCAGCAGGAGCAGCGGCGGCGGTGGCTGCCGCCCCAGCTCCTTGACCCTAAACCCTTGACCTTGAACCCTCAACCCTAAGCCCTGGCTACAAAGCTTTCCTCGGGTTCGTAGAGCGCAGCAAAGGGACTCCTGGAGATGAGTTGCGCCTGAACAGGAGTGACATGTGGCGTTGCAGGCTTGCAATACAGGCCCCAGCATCTGGAACCCTGAAATGGGATGATGTATGCCTACTTTCGCAGGGTTCAGAGCTTCCTACCCTAGCTATATATACCCGACTCAAAATGAACATCTACCACACAAAACAATAAGTTTAAACAAATAATCGAAGGTACACTGGCGTAGCTCGTACGCGACTTTGAGTATGTTGCATGTGGGCCTTGATGAAAACTGGCGCCAAACAGCTGATTCCAGCCAGACCGTCCTAAATTCCCAAAAACGAAAGGTCAACAATCTGTAAGTATGAAGATGCACATCTTGCGTAACCCCAAACTGACATGGAACCACCGAAAAGGGCAGAGACTTCATGAGGCTCCATGAAAAGTTAGCGATGAGTATTGGCATTTGCCTTCTGCCACCTGTTTCATGGCGTTCGAAAGTTTAAAGATTAGCAACGGCGCTCACGTCACCTCCCGGAGCCAGCCAAAAGGAACAAAAGCCAAAATGAAGAGAACAATCCCGAATAGGAGTCCTTAGAGCCTAGGACTACGTACTCGTATGCTGTAGCTAATCTTAGACATCCGGGGTCCCAAAGCGTAGGTCAAAAGCTTAAAACGCACGAACACGTACCGTACCCGAAAAATGCTGGTACCCTGCAGCAGCCACACACAAAATCCTCAGTTGACAGGAGCTTACCAGCCTCTACGGTGGACTCGCGCCGTTCTTCGTGTTTGCGCTTGGTCATGGCCAGCTTTCTTTTGGTTTTGGCGTCGAAGTCTAAGCATTCCTAATGCACCACTGGAGGGGTGATTCTTTTTAGGCCTAAGACATCACTCAAAGCACCCAAGCTTGAAACCTTCATAGTGTGATGAAGTGTTGGATTTCCAGTTGAGCGTTGGTTGCCTGCAAATATTTGCGGGTTCAGGTGGGCTATTCTACTTAAAGCCGAAAAGGCTGGTGCAAAGGCATTTGCAAGTTTGGCTTCAACCTCATTAACCCTGACCCCGACACCTGTCCCCCACAATCCAAAAACTTTGACATGAAAGGTGCAAAGTGTCAGGGTTCCGGCTCTGAGCTTGTTATTCATGGCTTCAAGCTGCCAAGGACGGCGGAGGGTCTGGGGGTGTATGCCACGTGTATATATTAGGCTTAGAGTGCCGAATTTTGGGCTCAGGGTTTGAGATTTGGGGTTTCGGATGGTTGAACGTCCTAGACACCCCATGTAGCTTCATCATGGTCTCAAGGCTCTCAACCAAGCAGCAGGTAATTACGTAGCATCGTCCTTTGTCTTTCCACTTTCTGGTTGCGCGCTGTTTTTTGGGCTAGGACTGTTGCTCACGTAGGAAAGGAATTGATCGCGAGGTCGAGGCAGCCGAAGGCTGAAGGCAAAACAGGAGTTAACACTGACACCAAGAGGCCAGCAAAATAGTATACTGGAATACACGGTTTCCAAGGCATCAAGCAGTTCAGACATGCACAATCCTGAGATCTTGAATATCAGCAATAGGACTGGACCTCAGGGCCTGAAATTGCCAGAAGCATCTCGATACCCTGTCCCAGCTAGTTGAACAGTCCCTCAGCAAAAGGTCGGAACAAACAGGGCAACTTCTTAGTAGGGCTTCTGAGGAGATAAGTGGGGCACGCTCATATGCGTAAAGACTCTAAACCCTCAATCGCTTGGGCCTGCTGATACCTGTACCAGAGTTAGAGATCCAAGCCGGCTTTCCAACTTTCTAACTTGGAGAGCAGGGGGTATGGCTTAAGGCTTTATGTATGGCATCCCAAAATTGACACCCCATGCAGGCAGCTTTATCCTTCAGGAACCCTATCTAAACTCATCAACACATTTGTTCACAAATGCAATGGTCATGTCCTATCTGAATTCTGAGACCTGAGCGCTGCTTGTGGCTGGGTAAGAGCTTAGACTCGTAGAGGCTAGGTTTGAACTCAAGATTCTTGACGGCCAGGCCACTTGTAGCAACCATACCTGCAGGTCCTAGCAACATAGCCCTCCATCAAGTTCCTAACACCAACTCTCCACATCACAGCCCACCATCCGCCAATCCAAGTCCTTAAGCCCTAACCCCAGGCCCAGCACAGATCAAAGCCTTCACCTGACATCGCCACAGATCCCAAACCCGAATACCCTAAAACACTAGAACAAGACACCCCAAACCCTGGAACCGTAAAAACCTGAACACCCTCCACCGCTGAATGCGAAAACCCCCAAAGCCGCTGAATCCTGAAGTCCGTAAAACCCGAAAACAACAGATCTGACCAAGAGCAGGGTCCCTGCCTTGGGTGCCACCCAGAACCAGAAGGCTTATTGACCTTGAGGCTTGAGACATACGGGTAAAACAATGATAATGATACAGAGTACGAATGCAAATAATCGCCATCCCCTGCCGATGAAAACGATGGTCCTCCCCAACGATGGAAATTACTCCAGGGCCTGAAAAACTAGAATTATGATGATCGTGATCCGCATAATCGTCCAATGGTAGTCGTAGTAAGTAGTAGCAGCAGTAGCAGCAGTAGTCTCAGATGAGGTAGCACAGCAGCAGCAGCAGCAGCAGCAGCAGCAGCAGCAGCAGCAACCTACAGCCCCATTGTAGCCTCGGAAGATCAAACTGAGCCTACTACAATCAACTTAAACATAAACCAAAACAATGCCGGCATCCCGGCCCTTCAAGCTGCAATCACCTCGGAATTCCACCCTAAACCCTTAAGCCACCTAAGCCCATTGACTCTAAAACCCGCAGATCCTTACACCCTAATTTCCCTCTTAGGAGAAGCTAAGCCCATTGGATGCGCGCCGAGGCTCCTGGGACCCAGCTCATTCCTGCAAGGCAGCTTGTGGACAAGCCCGACAGAGGATTCTGGTAACCTGAATTCATATAAACGTCATAAGGCCCCTAGTGTAGTGTGGAGGAATCCAAATCCGCCCATTCATCTGGACTGTAGGTTTACCCTCTTCCATCCCTCTGCCACACGAGCATTGAACCCAAAACGGTGAGCTACATAGACATTCTGTTCAAGAATTGAAGGGTTCAGCGATGGTAGGTTTCAGGTTTCAGGTAGCTTGGATTTGTGACTAGCAGAGTGGAGAACCAAGAACGGTTGCCCATGGCGGATATGGGGCTGTGCTCCAAACATTAGTGGATCTCTTGGGAGTCCCTAGAATAACATGCTGGGGCTCATATTGGTGGAAACCACATCCGCAATCCAAAGCTTCAACATCAACACATGCTCACCCGCTCTCAAACTTGAAGGTGCAGCCCTAAGGCTTGTCAAGCTAGCTCGGATAACTTCAGTGGTGCAAGATGTCCTCTGGGCTTTCTTTGGCTTGCAGCCCGTATCTGACGCTGCAACTGGAGTACCATGGTGCTCTATGCCCCGATTTACCTGAGTAGCATGTTGGTGAGGAGATGGTTCCCTCCAAGATATTACTGACAGAATTGCAGGCCTTATCAAACATCCGGCATCTGTGTAATTATGGTTTATAGGGGTTAGTAGGTCAAGGCCGACCTTTGTAGCTCCTCTGGGGTGGGGTACAGTTCTTCTGTCGTGAATCTGGTCAGGGCACCGGCGGCAGAACGGCACTAAATTGGGGTCTGGTTGGGGGCCAGGTTCTTGGGTAATAGGGTTGAGGGCCCAACTTGTGATATTATGCACTCATACAAGCACGCTGAAGCTCTAGAACGCCCAAAGTGGACCACAATTCCCTTGCATACTCAGTACTTTGCCACATGGCCACTGCATTCCCTTGCCAACGTTGGAACCCGAAAACATAGACTTCTGTCTGTAAAGAGGTAGCCATTGGGGCTAGTTAAAGAAAATGTCAACAAGGGTTCAAGATCTGCAGCTCCAGCATGAAGAGCTCTGAAATCGGATTTCTAGCAGGGTCTAGGGTTTATGATCTTAAAAAGACTAAACTCTTAGGCGTTGGCTTAGGAGATTTCTGGCAAGAAAAGTGCATGGGCTCTGGACTGTAGCATCGCAGCCCTTGCGCTTTAATAAGCCCCGAATCTGCACCTCTGGCTGCATTGCGAGTTTATACGCGCTCCAGGCCTTGGGCCCTACAAGCCTGATTTGTTTCCCCTTGACCCAAAAAGGTACAGGGCCTACACAAATGTCAGTATTATCAAGTAGTGGAAAAACATATG